CACGTTAAATATCCTGGTGGTTGTCTAAAAATCGATAAGAGTAGGCTTCGGCCGCCACCCGGGCAAAATTCAAAATTTCCTACCAACTGAAAATATTAGGAGTGTCCCGCGCGCTCACATGACCTATGCAGTTGCGAGCGCCGTAAAACCTTTACAAAAACAAACAAAACATTACTCCAGCAAAACAAACAGAAGCATCCGCCCCATTTCTCTGTAGGTCCTACAGCGTATTATGGGGGGCTCTCTTTGCCTTGAGGTTAAGGTGTTCGCCTCTCATTCAATAGGTCCCGGGTACGAATCCGGGTAGCGACGGAAATTTTTCTTCTCTAAAATTATCTCCTTTCACCTCCTTTCCTGCTCTCTAGGCTAGCAAAGTTCTGTTGTCTGCTTTCGCCTCCACTTTCTGCTCCCACACCCTCATCTCCTTTGCTCCCTCCCCTGGGCTCCTGACCCTTTCTGCAGCCTTTCTACTGCTGCTTCCCTGGCCCTTTCTCACAGTGGAAAAATTGCTACAAAATAAAACTTGTGGTTCGACAGATAAAATTGCGTGTAGTAACATATTAAAATTAGCATTCGAAATCGTGGATGAAATTGTTTTAAAATAGGTTAAAAGTTGTCAAAAAAAGCATAATTTATATAACGACCAAATCGGTTTACCATACTCTTGCTTTGACGCGAGAATGTATTCTACGTAATTCGTACGGATTTTCCCGAAAATCAGGTACTCGTCATTAACGGTATCTGTACTTTTATGTAAAAAGTATGTGAAGCATATTAATTATATGAAAAATGCGTTTTCTCCCGCCCTCGGTAGGAGATTTTCTATGGAAGTTGGGTTACTGTGCAATTTCCCTCTAAATAAAGAATTGTCCCTTGTACAATAGACGTAACGAATGTGAATGGTATTCTGGCTGTTGTACTACATAACGAGAACAATATGCCACACCCCTCAAGCCTCAGCTTGGTCCGATGTAGAGTCTTTGGGGGAAGGCACTTTACTCAAATTTCCTTTTCGGCTTTGTCTTTTTGAGGATGGATGTTGAAATCGTAGGTCCTGCCTCTTAAATAACATAAGTGTTGATAGGAGATTTAAACCTGTACCGGTCCAACAACCCCTCCCCCCCAAAAAAAACAACAACTCCCCAACAAAATATAAATTTAAACATTGAATTAAAAAAAAAAAAAAAACAGTTTCGTTTTCTGCTCGAGTGCCATATGATATAATATATACCTATATATTCATCATCCAGTGCCAGATCTGCGACAGACATCGGCGATCATGGTTCTCCATTCATTCCTTTGCTCGGATGCTCTCAAAAAAGCTACGTTTCCCTTATCTTTCCCTGTTACCCATTTGTTTAGGTTCCCGAAGTATGTTGTTCTGGACCTTCCCATGCCTCGCTCCCTCAATTTATATGTATATATGTTATGTACTTATATTGTGTACTGAGACCCATGATAGGAAGAATTCGAACCAGTCGCTCACATGTCCAGCATGAGCCCATCCGAGCAAACGGCGCCCTACAATGCGTTCACAGTATTGTCGCCTGAAGGAAGAAAATGATGATTATGAAAATGATGATTATGATGGTGATGATAATAATAGTACAATATGTAATACAATATTGATATGAACCGACCTTGGGTGATTTTCAAACAACGTCTCTCTCTCTCTCTCTCTCTCTCTCTCTCTCTCTCTCTCTCTCTCTCTCTGTGTGTGTGTGTGTGTGTGTGTGTGTGTGTGTGTTTGTGTGATCCTTGGTCAGATACAGTGGTTCTCAACTGTGTGGTGATAACCAAGAAGTCAGAAAAGATACATGTACTAGAATAAATGGAAACGCCATAACAGTCTCTCACTCTGCTATATAAGAAAAAGAATCTCTCTCTCTCTCTCTCTCTCTCTCTCTCTCTCTCTCTCTCTCTCTCTCTCTCTCTCTCTCTCTTTCTCTCTCTCTCTGTCTCCCCTCTTTCTCTCTCTAACTCTCTCTCTCCTCTCTGTCTGTCTCCCGCCTCCCCCCTCTCTTTCTCTCTATCTCTGTCTGTCTGTCTCTGTCTCCCACACACACACCAACCCGCACCCTTTCTCTTTGTCATCTAACTAGTTGTTCACATCCCTATAGCGTCTACACTGTTTTGTTTTGTTTTAGTAGAGGTTTTACGGCGCTCGCAACTGCAAGCGGTCATATGAGCGCCAGAAGATTAGAGGTGTTACAAGAGTAACAAACATAAAAAAAGAAGAAGGGGACATAAGGACAATGGATGTTTGATAGGAAAGAAGAAGCAAACCACACCAGAGCACCCGCCAACCACCCACACACTGCTTTTTTTTTTTGGGGGGGGGGGATACATTGTTAACCCTATCCGTACGTCCTGTTTTACTATCGTGTCCATACGACGAGGTGAACTCTGTGCCACCACTTTCCAAAGAGGAAAT